GGGCTGGGGGGGGTCTGGCCCCCGGAGCCGCTCGCGGTGTCGCCTCTGCTTGCCCCAGGTCTCTCGGCCGCGGCGGGGCGACGGCGGGTTTTCCCTCGTTGCGTGGTGAGGTTGGTGCCGCACTCGAAGCGGCACTCGGGTCCGGGCGGCGGCAGAGCTGAAGCGTTGCTGCCAGTTCGGAGCTGAGACAGGAGATGAGGGGTGTTTACCTGAGCAACGTGGCTCTGCCAGAAATAAATGTGCCCAGCGGTGCTTCCTGAATGCAGGTTGCCTGGGAGGTTTCCCGAATTACTACAGAGATCTATAAACATTAACTTCAGTAAGCAAGGAGCAGCTTAAAGTAGTGCATATATTTTCCCTCAGGTTCTTTTTTTTTTTTTTCCCCAATTATCCCATTTTTACCTAGGTTTCCACTCAAATTATTTGCAGAAATACCATATTTCCAGGTGAGAATCCCCAAGAACGGGTGTTGGGTGTTTTACTGCTTCAATGACTAGTCCACTTGCCCTTGCATCTGCAGGTGGGTTATTGGATAACTGGGTTGCTTTGGTTTGTTTCCAGTCATGCTGTTAGTGAACACTTCACATGCTTTGAGTGTTATGCTTTGAGTGTTACCTGGACGCGGAGGAGGAGGCGTGGAGGCAGAAACTGGAGGCTGGCAGGGCCAAGGTGAGGGGATGGGGTCGCCCGCCCTGGCCTTGCCCCTGGTGCCCCGCGGTATATGCCCTCAGTTAGGTGTAGTTTGGTGGGACTGTGTAGAGAGCTTATATGACGTGACTGATGTATAAAGGTAACATTCCCTTAGTAATTATTGTCTGCAACTATGTGATATGCACTTGATATGTATTAACCCTCTTAAAGTAAAACTTCTGCTTTGTTTTGGTAATGATGTTCAAGAAGCTGGTTAGAAACGTCTGATTACTTTTCTTTTAATTCAGCATTTCTGCCGATTTTTGAGCTGCTGTTGTTGTATTTCCCTTCTGGGAATCTGTTGCTGAATAAGGCTTGCCAGTCTGCAGCTATAGCTTTTCCTTGTTCTCACCATCCCAGTAGGACTGGAATGGGGGGGCTGTAGCTACAAGGGGATAGTTGAGGCTGCACAGAGTGTCAGGAGGTTTGGACAGATCAGATCTTTCCATAATGTGCTACAGGCTCTTCACCCCTGATATCACTCCTAGTGATTCTCCCACAGGCATAGGGGCACAGCCCTTTCTGCAGGGGACCTGTCTGGAAATCTAGCTAATGGGGTCAGAAGTGGCTTGGAACTGTGCCTCAGATCTCTTCAGCAGTCTTTTCAACAGTGTTTCTGTTTCAGCTTCCTCCTCCCGGCGCTGTGCAGAAGGCAACTAAAGAGAGTGTTACTGGGAGGGGAGCAGAGTTGTGGTGGGAGCTGCGCTGAAGCAGCTCGATGGTGGGCAATACAGGTCCTCCATCCCTGGCCTTTCCCACCCAGATGCTGTCATGGTTGCCACACTCACTGCTTCTGCTCAGCAGCTCCTCATCTGCTTGCCCTTGCAGTCTTGATGTGTGCTGTGTGGACACAATCCCCTGTTGGGGAATGATTGTGTGATTAGTTTTTGGATTAATACTGAGAGAGGAAACTTTGAGGACAGGAGTTTTTTGGGTTGAAAAGTTACATCAGCTGTGGCAAGACTTATCTTAACATTTCTTTTGTAACCCTTCTGTAAGTGCAGTATCTGTTTATAGTTAGAAAAATGTGATAGACTTGCCTTGAATAAGTTATTAGTTCCCACCTGTTGTACAGCTGTTGTTTGCTGTTGGGGGAAAAAAAAAGTATGGACTTGCATTACGTTTCAAGTTATGTGTGCAGAGCCAGTGTTGCATTTATTTTTTTCTTTAAACTATGTGCTAAATATCTCTCATCTTAACATTTAAAAAAAATTGTTAGCAGCCCGTCAATGTTGCTATTCCGTGGTATCGTATACCTGGTATACTGAGAGGAAAGGAAAGGGTTTAGAAAGGCAGAGATGGATGTAGTGCTTCCTCTGCTTATTAAAATGTCACAGAGGTTCATTACTTAGCAGATTGTGAGCATGAGACAATTTTCAAAAAACACCCAGACAAATGAATGGAAGCAATATCCATTGGGGCTTATTAAACACAAAGGTAGCATGTTTGGCTTTGGAAGGCAAACGTGTGAGCTGCAGGTTCCTTAGTATACTCACACCCAATTTCTAGCACATATGACTATGCTTGCCCTGTTTTTGTATCTTTGCTTATATACCTGCAGTTGTAGAGCTCATGTATGGAACAGATGTACGTTGGGCTAGCTCGAGTGTGTCCAAAGAAGGGCAATGAAGTTGGTGCAGGGTCTAGAGCACAGGTCTTACAAGGAGCAGCTGAGGGAGCTGGGGTTGTTTAGCCTGGAGAAAAGGAGGCTGAGGGGAGACCCTATGGCTCTCTACAACTCCCTGAAAGGAGGTTGTAGCGAGGTGGGGGTCGGTCTCTTCTCCCAAGTAACGAGTGATAGGATGAGAGGAAATGGCCTCAAGTTGAGCCAGGGGAGGTTTAGGTTGGATGTTAGGAAAAATTTCTTCACTGAAAGGGTAGTCAGGCACTGGAACAGGTTACCCAGGGAAGTGGTTGAGTCCCCATCCCTGGAGGTATTTAAAAGACGTGTAGATGTGGTGCTTAGGGACATGGTTTAGTGGTGGACTTGGCAGTGATAGGTTAACAGTTGGACGTGATCTTAAAGGTCTTTTCCAACCTAAACAATTCTATGATTCTATGATTACTGGAAAAAAATGCACCTTTGGTCTTACTCAGTGTAGTCCTTTGGGTGTTCTTAAGCCCATAGTAGGATATGGTCATGCTGCTGAGTAGGCGGGCTGCAGGACTGTAACTTGCTTCAGAAACTTCCTCTGGGTAGCTTGCGTTTTTGAAGGCTCCTATATAATAGAGCAGCAGGGAAATGTCCCTCCTTTTTGTTCTTTTCCTTTTCTTTTTTGTTTTCTTTGCGCTGCCCTCTTCATGAATACAAATGCAATTTTGAAAGGGAGAAATAACTGTGAGCAGGTACGGTATTTCCATCATGTGGTGCAGGCCTACAGTGTTCATCCAGATCAGCTTCCTGAATCATCTCACCACGTCACTGTGAGGGCGCTCACAATGGCAAGGGACAGGAGCGTGAGGCTAGCTGTGCCTTGCAGACCTCTGTTGTAGCAACCTGACATGTAGCAACCCATGTAGTCATGCTAACTGCAGTCTGATACTGCTTGAATCTGGAGGTGTGAACTGCTGTGGGTTTTTTTTTGCCTTCCCTCTCTGCTGCCTGCCCCTGACC